TGTTTGCATCTACTGTGAAAGGAGATGGACCAGTCAGTGATCCTGTTATTGTTGTGAGAACAGATCAGGATAGTAAGTAATTACTTTTTTCCTTTCAATTAACATTCGTTCCATTCAATTAATATACTCTGTCAGGAACTCCCATCTGTGAAAAGAAGCTTTTCATGCTCGCATTAGATGTAAATACTGTAGCTTTTCATCCCAAAGTTACTAGCTAAGAGTGCATGTTTGGTGCTGCTGAGAGACGTGATGGCCTAATGGTTACCAGAGTGACAGCCCGGATCGCTCAGTCTTGTTTTGAGCACTGGCCAAGCCATTGTGCTGTGTTCCTAAACACAGCGCTCTTCTCCTATGATGCTTGTCTTCACCCCTGAATTCTTGACAATTGATGAACTGTGAGGACAGTCTAAAAATGCAGGGGGATTGCCTGCAATAGACTACCTGCCCATTTAGGGGGAGTATTTTGATACTTGTAGTTGCTCCCTGCTATAAAAACTCTTACTAAGCTCCGGCAATATTGGTCATTTTGGCCTGAGTACACACCTTACCCTTTTAAGCCTGCAAGAGATGTTTGGTGTAAATTTCAGAAATTGTCACTTACATGTAGCAAGAAAATTACACCACCCAGCTGCTTCCTCTAACTTAAAGCATTTTAAATGTCTATCTATTCACAAAAGGAAATTTCAGTAGTGCTCAGTAGTCTCTTTTACCTGCACCTCACTCAACATCAATGTTACCTTTACCACACAATTCTCTTACTGATGGCCTTCATTATATTTTAGTGCCAGACTAGTACGCTGGACAAAACTGTTCTGGATCGACGTTTCACCGCAAAAAATTAAAACTAACAAAGTGACACGACTAATTTTGTGATTATCTTAAACTCTACTAAATTCCACACATGTGAACTTATTTTTATATGGATTACGCAAGAAAGGCTTGCGTTACACCTTGTCCAAATTTGGTAACAAAGTCACAAAAGTATGTAAAATCACTTGATTTCTGAGAAATAAGAAACACATTTAGAGTGTTGTTTTGCGAAGAAACTCTTTAAGTGCTTGTTCATTTTTTTGGCAAGATTTTGACAAGAAAGCATGAGAAAGACTTACAACTTTATTTGGCCACTGAAATGCGATACTGTCTTCAGAGACTGATCTTCTTTGAAGTCTTTAAACTGATCTTGCCACTAGACCTATCTTCCGCCTGCTCTGAATATGGCTGCCTTTAGCTCGCGCTTCGCACAAGCCGCAATTGCGCAAGATACTGCTGTGTTAAAGCATTATTGGCCAAGAACCCCAGACAACGCTATTTGTCCTTTTAGGAAAGTTTTCGGACCTTTTTCCTGGGCTCATCTACTAGGAGCTTGCCATTTTCTCACAATTTCTTGCTTAACAGCTTGAAATAACTTTTTTGGTTTGCCTTGTGGCCTTCAGTGGTAGTCAGGCCACAGCTTGAATCTTTGCTTCTCTAAACCGCTGATGTATTACAGGATTATAGTGCTGTTTAGATGGATATCACTCCTTCTTCATAACATCTCGTCTAATTCATGGAAGAATTCCACAAACGCGCAACGATGTTCTTCGCACAACAACACTGATCTAACACTACCATGTCAATGTAAACTACGAATATTTTTTTCCCTCAGAAATCGCGCAATTTTCCGTACTTTTGTTACTCATTCCGCAAATTTAGATTCTCTGTAACTCAAGTCTTCCTTGCATGATCGATGTAAAGATAAATTACCATGTGTGGAATTAAATAAAGTTTAAGACACTCACAAAATTATTTGCATCGCTCTGCTTGTTTTAATTTTTTTGTCGTAAAACGTTGATCCAGAACAGTTTTGTCCAGAGTACTAGCTATTTTCTTCAATTACATAGGTAGACATTGTCTTGCACGATCCATGATTCATGTTTCACGTTTCTCAAGTAAGTGACGTTGGAAAAGCTTATGACCCTTGATAGCTATCGGTATTTTCTTTACAGAAATACTTAAGCCTAGTCACTTTCTTTGCAAATTAAGTAAACTTGATTTACTTTTTTTTTTCATCAGAACCTGACGGTGCTCCACAAAATGTGAGAGGAGAGAACAGCAGCTCAACCAGCATCTCAGTCATGTGGGATGAAGTTCTAGCTGATCAACAGAATGGTATCATCACGGGTTACACAATTACTTACAAGTCACAAGCAGAGAATGACAATGGAAGAGTTCAAGTAAATGACTCTGCTCGTCAGACAGAATTGACAAATCTGATGGAATATGTCAAATACAATATCACAGTGCTTGCATCTACTGTGAAAGGAGATGGACCAGCCAGTGGTCCAATTGTTGTTAGAACAGACCAAGATAGTAAGTAATATTTCTTATCACGATTTTTTGGTGTATGTTTTGGTAATTCCGTAGTTAATAGAGTTTCCTATCAAGCTCTCCTTTTGGTCATTAAGGTAATTTTTGATTTATGCCATTTCACTAAGAGACTATTGAAGTTTTTTATTGGTTTAAGTAACTGGCTACATTGTAGAACGCTACAGATGTTTGGTATTCAGTTTTAATGGAAAGTGGCGAAAGTCTTGAGAACACAAAGCTCAGTAGTTGTTGTTTGTACTTCATTTGTTTTGAGATCTAATGAGCATGCCAAAGGAAGTCGTATTGACCTTAACTGGAAGAAACAGATTCTATCTGATGTTGTAAGTAATAACCGTCAGGTTATCGTTCTGTTACAGTACGTTTTCTCTTTTTATTTTAATTTTTTCTCCAGCTTCTCAGCGGTCCGGAATCCTAAATCCTTAAATTTGATTGGCCTATCGTGTGCGCTTTAGCGGTCCAGATTTTCCTATCCGGACCTGAGTATGGATCACTCCTAAATTGTCAACTTTGGCAACTTTTCAAGCTTTTTGTTACCCTGCAGAACAACGTAAAGTGGAAGCATTCAACACTTTGGCAATTTTTCAAGCATTTTTATCGCTTTTTGTGCCTGGATCGTCTAACACGTGCGTACGCCAGATTTGAACTGAACTGCTTTAATTAAAACTCAACACGAAATTTTCTTTCTAAGCAATACCGTGGATAAGAAATAAACACGATGACGTTATTTGCCGGCCTTGGTCATTCCCTACTGGGAACCATTGAGTAAGGCGCGACGCCGCATACTCAAGACCTCGTGCACAGTTTTTTCCAATACGGACCTGCGGCCGGCAAATGGCATATATATACACAATGCATTATTTGTTAGTCACGAAACTAAAGTTAAAAAGAATTACATGTATGACAAATGTAAAATAAACAAACAGCTAGTCACCATCGTGTAACTAGGTACTAAGGCCCAGCCACATTCGTTACAATATAACTCAACTTTTAACTTCTATATC